ATTCCACATATTAGTGAAACCATTCATGTTGACCGTATTTTACAATTCAAATTTTCTTAGGGTCCATAAAGGTCTGCATACACTACAGCAAGCTTTGATTGACCAAGTCCTAATTTTTTTTTTTTTTTTTTTTTAAGATTTATTTATTTATTTATACAAGCACTGGGTACAGTCAGAAGCACGGGAGGGTGAGAGAATTCACCAGAGCCAGAGTGGGGAGCAGAGCAGGCAGAAGGACCAAAGTACACTGCTGAGGGGAGCAGCGGGCGGCAGGAGAGGTCTGCGCGCCATGTGGGACCCTCCTCTGGTGGCCGGGGAGCAGCCGGGGATTGAACCGGCGCTGCAGAGGCTGCGGGCAGCTTCACAACCCAGCGCTCAACCGCTGCGCCACCGGGGAGGCCCACCAAGTCCTAATTAAGGAGAACCTTTGATGCAGTGGGTTTGCTTGGAGCTGACCAAGAGTTTAGTGGAATGAGAGACTCACAAGGTAATCAGCTCACTTCAGGTGCTTGTGTGTCCTGGGTGATACAGCTCTGTGGCTAAATCCTTCCCTCTCCTGTGTCACATTCACAGCACACTTGGCACTACACACGGTGGCAGTCAATGACTCTCCCATGATTCACGTGTAAATGGAAGTGGCAGTGGAGCCTCAAAAGCCCAGGAAAGCCTATTCTTCTCCCAGCCCACATGTGCTGCTCTATATTTGGCCACAAGTTACTCCCACAGCCCTTTCGGGAGAGACCTGGGTGCCAGAGTTCCTAGCTGAGAGTTATTTTTAGTCTTTAAAACCAACCCAGCCAGGGCTTCCCTGATGGTAGATGGGTTAAAAACACAGTGCTGTCAAGCTTTCTGCAGTCACTGAGGCATGAGTTCGATCCCCAGCCAGGGATCAAGCTGACCCACGTGGCACAACAAACTTCTCCTGTCTCTCCCGCTGCTCCCCTCAGCAGTGTATTGCAGCCAATCCACCCGTTCTGTTCCCCACTCTGTCTCTGGTGAATCTTCTCACCACCAACCCTGCCCCCGCACCTCTGGCCTACACATAAGAACTGGGATTTTTATGTGCCTAAATAAATAAATAAACCCAATTCTTATGTGCATAAATAAATAAATCTTTAAAAACAACAACAACAACAAAACAACCCAGCCATTATTGACTGGTTGGCCAAGTTTTCTGTTCAGAGTACACAAGCTTTCAGTTCCCTGTCAAGATCATATTTCTCCGCACATGGCGGGCACTCCTCTAAGATCAGCAGTTGCCAGTCAACTTGGAAGGAAACAGCCTCCCTGACTTCCTCACTACTCTGTTGCACGTGTCATAATCCCCAGGAAAGGTCAGCTGGGACCTGTGCAGGCTAGAGGCTTAGTCCAGTGCGGGTAGGTTAAAAAGAAAAAGAAAAATCTTTGAATTTCCTGCCATCTTCCCCCAAGTCTTAAGCACCATTTATTCGGTCAAAGTCCCACAACAGGCAAACCAATGTCAGGATGTGGGGCACCATCTCTTGGCTGGATATAGCAGCCAACTCCCTGCTTCTCTCCTTGCACCCTGCAAATCTATTCTCGATTCAGAGGCCAGAGGGGACCCATGGAAAGACACATCAGAATATGTTTTTCCTAAAGAAAAATACCGGATGGTCTCACTCATAGCAGGAATCTAGAAAACTTAAATAAGGGACCAGGAAAATGAATAACTATAAGAAAGTGAAAATCAAAATCAACAAAAAACTATGAGCCAGAGACACTTTTTGGGGGGTTGGGGGTGGAAGGGGAGGGATTGGAGTCAAAATGGGGGGGTTGCAATTGTATGGGGAATATAAAAATAAAATCTATTATTTAAAAAAAAAAAAAGAATATGTTTTTCCTTTGCTTGGAAACCTCCAGGGGTCCATGTAAACCAGAGATATAGTCAAAGTCTTAGAAAGTCTACATGGTCCTGTATCTCCAAACCCCGTATGTAACTGATTTCCTACTATTCTCTCCTCGCTTACTCTTTGCTTCGTGTAGATCTGGAAGAAGGTCATTCCTTGCTCACACCCTTCTTCCTTTAAGTCTCTGTGCAAATGTCACCTACTCAGTGAGTTCTGCCCTAATGGTACAGTACTATTTATTGCAATCCCTCCCTTCCCCAGTAGGACTGTTCTGGCTCATCATGGAATTTTACCAATGGAATACATCACCTTCTATCACACATATAATTTATCTATTAATATTCATCGCGTTTATTATCTGACTCTCCCTGGTAAGATAATGCAAGTTTCACGAGGAAAAGGATTTTTTGCTTTCTTTTGCATGCCAATGTATCTCAGATACCTAGAATAGGGAATGGTACATAGCAGGAGCCCACTGATGTTTGTTGAATAAGTCAGACTCCATTGTAAACATCACTGAGGCATCTGAGTGTAGGAATCTGTTCTCCTATCCCTGAACCCACATCTGCCATAGAATCCTGGCTTCCCTTTCATCAACAGCTGGATTTATACGCTGGGAGTTCTCTACAGAACTTAGTAGAGAGATGCCTTGGGATTTTCTGCATTTCATCAAGATCAAGAAAGCTATGTAAAAATTCCAAAATGTGTTTTTTTGCTAAATTCATCTTGAAAATGTTCTTCTTGGGTGATTTTATATACATATGTCATACTTGCAGAATAAGCCTCAAGCGAGGAGTTTTTGTTATTGTTGTTAGTGGTGGAGGTGGGGAGAGGGAGGTGTGGTTGAGGAGGAGGAATATAAAAACATTAACTTAATCATGTGAGCAGCTCTAATAATAAAGTCAGTGTCTCCTTTATGACAGAGAGCTCTGGGAAACTGAATAGAAAATTACTTTCCTTTAAAGAGACAGACTTACTGAGTCATTGTCTCTGAATTCCCTCCCTGCTACTTCTCATTCAGGCGGCTGCTGGTTTTATTTCCAATCTATCTAAAGGGGTTTAAGAGTCAACACAGAGATTACGGTTTCCAACTCCTCATTGCTGCAAGCTGGAATAACCCGTTGTAGTTATCTACTTCTGCCTAATAAATTACTCCAAAGTCTACTTGGCTAAAACAGTTGCCATTTAATTTGTTTATACTTCTGTGGGTTAGGGATTCAGGCAGGGCTGAGCCATCCTTTTGTCACAGGTGATGTCTGTTGGGAACATTCTTTTGGATGCTTTCAGCTGTTGGCAGGGCCAGTTTCTAAATTTGGTTTCACCCACTTTTCTAGTGCCCCGACCTCTTTCCCCAGTGACTTGGCTCCCTTAGAGGTTTAGCCTTGGAAGTCGTACAGCAGTGACCTTCTCTACCATATTGTATCAGTCAAAACAGGCCACAGAGACTGCCTCTCTTCTAGGGTGGGGAACTCTATCTCTCATTGAGAGGAATGACATGACAAGGAATTTGTGACCAATTTAATCCATCACATATCAAGTACAGCCAGTCTCCACCTTCAGCTGCGCTTCATACCACTTCTGTTTAACAAAGGCTGTGTTTGAAGAACTTCAGCACATGAGGGCCAAAATATGCATCTCTGTTGCTTAGGAATGCTCCCACCTCAGTCAAGCACTCACTTTAGGAATTTCTCTACCTCCAATTTAGTCTCTGAACAGGCACTAAGGTTCTGCTTGGCATTAGTTCTGTCTTGCCACAGAAGTTGCTTCCCAAATCCCAGACCCCCATCATCATGTATTCCTATCTCACAGCCAAATCATCCCCTATCCCTGTTGTTTTTTCCCCTGCTAGGAACTCAGGGCCCCAGTACCTCTTTCTAAATGTTATATTTACTGTAAATCCAAAGAGACAATCTAGCTACCACTGCCTCTGATTTTGACATGGGAATGGAGTTACCCATGTGAAAGTTTTGGATCTGCCAAGTCATGAAATTGGGTGAGTTGAGCAGCAATTCATTGTAAGATGGAAAAGGCACCTCTGGGATTGAGCCCAAGGAAGGGGAGAGGACACGAGTCAACTGCATGACTACGGACATGTGAACGATCCTGGAGGATCAAGAAGGAAAACGAAAAACGCTTAGCTTGGTTTGCATTCATCTTGGTTCAGTATGTGGAAATAAGCTGAAAAGGAAGCTGCTATATCACAACCACACTCAGGGTTGGCTTTGAAAGAAAATGGAGGGAAAATCTTGTTGATGAGTAGAGCTGCAAGTAATACACCTGGTATCCACTTTGTGTGGAAACAGAAGTAGCCTAAGATGGATATATTTATGTACTGATCAACAATCACCAAAGGCTTGATGGACTCCCTAGAGGTCTAGAAGGAAAATGACTAGAAGATTTGGAACAAGAGCTTCGAGGGCAGAGGCAGGTGGGTGGACCTCTGGGAGTGGACATAAGGTGTAAAGGGTTTTGTATGACATACTTGTGTCCACCATAAAGCATCCATCACAGAAGAGGAATTGTACATCTAAGTAGAAAAAGGCCCAATCTGTTGACATTAGCAACCAGAAATCATTAGCCACCCCAACACCCAGAACGGGTATGATGGATCATCAGATGGATCCATGAGTGGAGCGGCCATGGTGACAAATGTTTCCATGTGGTCCTACAGCATGGCTCCCACTTAAAAAGCTGGTGTAGCTATTGCCCTCTCTGATTGTCCAACCTGCCAGCAACAGAGACCAGTGTTGAGCTCCTGATGTGGCACTACTCTAGGAGAGCAACTGTCACTAGGTGGCAGTTTGTTCTCACAGCAACAGGTACCCATTCTGGGTGTGGGTCTGCCCTTCATGCCCTCGGAGCCTCCTGCAACACCATTATCCAGAGATGGCACTTTTGACTCAGTCATTGATGCTGCATTTTCCACTTATCAACCTCTGTGCCACCAAGAATTTGCTGGTACAGCATTTCTTAAAATGAATTTAAAAAAAGTCCAAATCTCATTGGTACCAGGCTCTTAATTTCAATTAGGTAGAGTTAGCCTTTGGGGATGTGAAAACTCTGATGTGCCACCCAGGTTCTTGTTGCTTATCACCTTAGCTTCTGAGACCGCTGCTAGCAGATACCGCTTACCTGTCGGTCTCCTTTGAGATGGATTCGTATGAAGAGGGCCACTCTGCTCAAGGATGTGCCTCCTTCCAAAAGCTTGATGACCTGGGAATACAAAGATCTGGAAGTTACCTCAACTTGGAACTGCTGGAGAAGATCATCTCAGCTTCAGAGCTCCCTGAAGGCCTTTCCTGTGACTGTGTCACAGCTTGATTTCTTTCTCTAGCCAATGGGCCTCCTTCTTACTTGGGCTTTCCCTAATATACCTTCTGCTTGATTATCTCCACCTGAGTCTACTTCTCGAGGAATGCAAGCAGCAACACCTGCTTTTGAATCTTGATTGACTCCTTTCACGCCTTCCTACAATTATTTTATCCCCGAGGTAATAACTGCTCCTCTATTATTATTATTTTGGGAGTGACAACTGTCACAACTACAAACTGGCCAGTTGAGAGAAAGCGTGAGAAGCACTGACTCACACCCTAATTCCAGAAGAAGATTTAAAACTTGTCAAAGTGCTCCCAAAATATGCCTGGATTTTGCAACTAATTCCATTAGTACTTCATGGAGCACACCACTACCATGTGACTTAGACTGTTTCAGAGCATAGAAAAATGTGGTGCATGATCCACTTAATTTTACAACATTGTAGAAACATCTTCATATCAAAACCTCAGCAGAAAGCTACTACCACCTCAGATATTAATATATTTCCAAGAATCCAAATAAAATACTAACAAATCAAATTCAATCAAAAGTACAATGTAATATAATTTTTTCCCTAAGATTGCAGGCATAGTTCAACAATAAATATCTCAGACTTTATTGGTGGGGTGAATAAGTTGACTTTTTTTAAAGACTAACTTGCTAGCATGTATCAAATTTAGAAATGTGCCTGATTTGTGATTTATCAATACCTCTTCCAGTTATCTGTGTACTAAAGAGATGATCTCACATGGACACAGGAATATCTATGACAATGTTCACTGTAGTGGATTTTTTTTTTTTGGTGATACAGAAAAAGAGAAATACCCTAAATCTTCATTGGTAAGAGAATGACTAAGTCACAGCGTTACTGCCATACTAAAGAATACGAGGCAGCTGTTGAAAAAGAATGTGTTACTCTATATGTACTGAAACAGAAAACTCTTTGACACGTTAAGTGGAAAAACAAAGCAAACGCTTGTGCATAAAATCATATTACAGAATGATCTATTTTATTGAAATAATTATTAAATTAATATTAAGAAATAAAATATATTTGTGTGTCTATAGTTGCATATATATGTTAATATAAAGCCAGAAAGAAAAAGAAAAATACCAGATGGTCTCACTCATAGCAGGAATTTAGAAAACCTAAATAAAGGACCAGGAAAAAGACTAATTATAATAAAATCAAAATCCACAAGCAACTATAAACCAGAGACACACTGGGGGTGGGGGGGTAGGGGAGGGGGAGCAGGATCAAAACAAGGGGGGTGGGAATTGTGTGGGGACTATAACCAAGATGAAAATGCATACATTGTGCAAAAATGAAAAATGATGTAAAAAATATATAAAATTTTAGAAAAAGTAAAAAAAAAAAAAAAAGAAAAAAAGAAAGCAATAACCTGAGAGATGAGAATGGGGTTACTGGAAACAGCACTGGGGACCAGAGGAAGTTTTATCATTTCTGTATAATTCTGTATTGTTTAACATTTTTACAATGAGAACTTGATCAATGATTACTTGAGTAACTAAACTAATATAAGAAAGATACAAAATATTTTAGAATGACTCATCTGATTTATAGTCAAAATGGAAAGAAAAACTAATTTCCACTTATTTCTTAAGAAAATCCCTTAGGGTTTGAGTTGCAGCCATATGAAGCTATCCTCAGCCACTGCAGTACGAGTTTGATCCCCAGCCAGGAGCTACCCACATGGTGTAGCAGACCTCTCCTGACTCACCCGCTGTTCCCCTCAGCAGTGTATTTCAGTCAGTCTGCCTGTTCTGCTCCCCACTCTGTCTCTGGTGACTCCTCTCACTCTCCTGCACCTCTGGCCTGCACCCCAGCTCTTGTGTGCATAGAAATATATATCATTAAAAAAGAAAAAACAAGGACATTTCCCAAGAATCCCACTTAGGTGATGAATATATGCAAAAGCGATTGTTTCCATGTAAATTATCAGCAGCTTTATGTGAAATACCGATAACCAAATTGGAAAAAACAGGAAAGCAATAGATTCTATTAACCATGGCAACCAGAATTAGTAGGACCAAGTAGCACATTGGAAAAGGACTAGCTGGAGGACACCTTCACAGCTTTATTGATAGGTAGAGAAAGACTCGTAAACAGAGAGACATCCTCACTTTCAGCTAAGAAGTCAGTGTTTGCATGTGTGTTTTAACACGAGGAGGAGAAATGCAAACAATTCCCTTCCTAGAAGTAGAGTAAGTGGGAATGAGTAATATTTGTCTTACCATCAACACTAGACGAAATGGAGGGTTTCTGTGAGGCAAAATACAAGAGTTATCAAGCTTAGACACAATAGGAATTTTTCTTTTATCAAAAGACAATGTCCCAAACCTGCTGGCTTTCCCATGATCGTGGTGTCAATAAAATGTGCTTAAAAAGATACTGGGGAAAAAAAGAAATACACTTTGTTTTGTGGAGGCATAGATTATGCTGTAACAAAGTGTGAGAGAGTAACAGTTTTTCTAAATAAAATCATCCTTTGGCGAGCATGAGTTTGTATTGCAAATGAAAAGTGGAAATTTTTCCAGTGTAAAGTGATTTTGAGACTAAAAATTATGTAAGTGGGTCACCTATGGAAATCCACATATTTGCTTGCTTTAAAAACTTGGAAACAGGATAGTCTAACCTTATATACAAGTGTTCTAGAATAAACTGATTTGTTAACAATGTGAAGAGGCAAAACTTTTCAATTATTTTGCAAGAACAATGAATGGGCTTCAGGAAAAATGGAAACTGTCAACTAAATTTCAACAGATACCTTTGCATCATTGGTGGCTGAGACTGGAATATGAATATCACTATTTGTTAGGCATAGCCCATAAAACACTTCCTCCCTTTTGTATCTATGCATATTGATGAAGCCCTTTTCAATTATTTCAAAACCAAGTACTGGAATAATCTGAATATTGCACTGAACATCAAGTGACTATATCTCAACTTGTTAAAATAAGATTGCAAAAAAAAAAAAGAGTCAAGCATATTTTACATTTGCTAAAATGCATTCTTCGCTAAGTCAGAGTAAAAATATGTTGTATCTTCATAATTAAGAGGAAAATGTTTTTAAGAGATAGTTTATCTGATATTTATAATTCCTCTTAAAATCCCAAAGGGGGCCAGTAACTTCAACATCACCCAGAGCTTGTTAGAAAGATACTCAGGCTCTGCCCCAGAGCCACCGCTTTGCTTCTGTTTTTTTTTTTTTTTAAAGATTTATTTATTTATGCATACAAGAACTGGGGTACAGGCCAGAGGTGTGTGGATTCACAGAGATAGAGTGGGGAACAGAACAGGCAGATTGAAATACACTGCTGAGGGGAACAGTGGGTGAGTCAGGAGAGGTCTGCTGTGCCATGTGGGTAGCTCCCTGGCCAGGGATCAAACTCGTGCTGCAGTGGCTGAGGACAGTTTCATAGGTTGTGTCTTAGCCCCTTGCACCACCAGGGAGGCCCCTCTTTGCTTCTGTTGAGTGAAGGCTTCACCTACATCCATGCCTTCGGGCGTGAATAGAATCAGAGACTGTCAGAGGCACTTTGGTCTTAGGTAAGCATGTGGTTGAGGCATGGTCTGCTCTTCAGGTTGGAGGTTTTTTGTTTTTTTTTTTCTAAATTATTTATTTATTTTTTTTCCAAGGTTAACAAAAGGTTTATTTACAAGGGAAGAGGAAATGAGGAAATATACAACTCAGGGAGAAAAGAGGGAGACAAATTCTTAAATGTGTCCTACCTGTTCTGCAGGTTGGAGTTTTTGAAGACCAGATTAATTCTCAAAATTTTGAAGTGAGTTTATGTAAAACAGACTTTCTGGGAGTAGATGGAACTCCTAGTATAAACATAAATCCCAACTCCACTTTTATAAAGCACCAAGTAGTAACGTATATAGTAATACTAGCTCGTATAGAACATGTTCCGTGTGTTAGAATTATCCTAAATTCTCACAGGTTAATTTGTTTTGTTACAGGACAGGGAGAGGGGCACCCCAAAACCCCCAGACCTGCCCACTCTAAATAGGTTCTGCCATCCACTGCATCATCCACTGCATCAAGACAAAGCACACTCTAGTGCGTAAGACCTTCAATGGAAAGGAACTTTAATAAAATTAGTGTGCAACACAGAAAAGGGGAAGAATATAGTTTCCAAATCAAGCACCCAAAGTTACCCGTTCCCTCGTGGATAAATGCCCAGCCTAACAGGGCTGGCCGAAAGCAGGGCCACTGAGACCCAAAAGGCTGCCACAAGTCTCAAGCACCTTCCAACAGGAACCCATAGAAAAGCGGCAGAAACAGCCAGACAGGGCGGAGTAAAAGAGCAAAATCAAGATAAATGCTGCCATTGTTACCTTCCCCTGGGTCTCTCACCCACATCTGTGTCACCCAGTCCAGGACCAAGAAGCAAGTGCAGTTTCTTCACGTGTCTCTCGGCTCCACGTGCCTCCTCCAGGTCTCCTCCTGACTCTCCATCCTGCTTCCTTCCTTCCTCAGTCTCCTCTGCAGCTTCTTCTCCTCCCTGTTCTGCTCCACCCTCCCTTGGGTGGGGCAGGGGACCTGAAACCTCCCCTATTCCTGGGGACCACCCTCTTAGAATTTAATTCTCCCTACAGCCCTATGAGGTGGCTCTGCTATTACCCTCAGTTTACAGGAGAGGAAGCCAAGGTCCAGAGAGGTTAATAACCTCTGAAACAAGCTGCTCAAGGTCATGCCACTAATAAGTAACAAAGTCAAGATTTCAATTTAGTCAATCTAGTTCCAAATCCCAGGCTCTTGGTCACTACAGTACTGCGGCATAAAATGCATGAATGAATAAATACCCACATATTGGGAATGCATACTCAAATATTTGTATTGGGGAAGATGCTTGTAAAAGTAGG